AGGAATGGAAGAGGAGGAAGGGGGGAGGAGGGATGGAGAAGGAGTTTTGGGGTGGGAAAGGGGACCAAGGGTGGGCACCGGTCCCACCTGGAGGAGGAGGAGGGATGGAGGAGGAAGAGGTGAGGAGGAGGAAGGATGGAGGAGGAGGAGAGACGAAGGAGAAGGAGAAGAAGGAATGGAAGAGGAGGAAGGGGGGAGGAGGGATGGAGAAGGAGTTTTGGGGTGGGAAAGGGGACCGAGGGTGGGCACCGGTCCCACCTGGAGGAGGAGGAGGGATGGAGGAGGAAGAGGTGAGGAGGAGGAAGGATGGAGGAGGAGGAGAGACGAAGGAGAAGGAGAAGAAGGATGGAGGAGAGCAGGAGCAGGAAGAGGAGGGATGGAAGAGGGATGGAGGAGGAAGAGGAGGAGGAAGAGGAGGAAGGAGGCGGCTCCACCACTGACTAGATCCGGGTCACACGAAGAGCCACCTCCACGGAGACCACCGAACCCCCCACCTGGGCTCTGCCCCCACCGCGTCCCACAGGTAACTGGGGAGGGGGGGACCAGGGACCCACAGAGAGAGGGGGTGGGGGGGGAAGATGTCCACGGGCTGTGCCGTGGGGCTGAGCTCTGAAGGTCCCAGGGTTGGGAGGCAGATGTGGGGCAGGGTGGCGGTGGTTGGGACCTACTCAACACATGGAGTTCCACCACCAGGTCCAGGTGGACGCCGGTGGTTGATGACGTTTTGGGACACGCGGGGAAGGGGTGGCCGGTCCCATCCCACCCGTGGGGTTGCGAGTGAACGTGGGAACCCCTCAACGCGTGGTCTTCCTTCACCAGGTCTTCCTGGTGGAGCAAGAGGGGCACTCTGGAGGTGGTGGGAAGGGGTGGGCACGGAGCTGAAGCTCCTCGGGCAGGTGGGCAGCAGGGGAGAAGAAGGGCACGATGGTGCTTCCTCAGCCCCAGAGGTCCACGTGGACCTTCTCTGCTTGGTAACCCTCGATAGATCTCTTTCCCCTGGTCTTTTCCCGTGTCCTCGTGCCCCGTGAGCTGCGTCGGCGTGGGGGTTGTAGCTTGGGGTCACCACCACCGCTGGTGGAGGTACCACCGGAGCTGCCGAGCAGGCTAGATTTGGGAGCGAGAGTCTTTAAACGTTGACGGGAGCTTTGGCAAAAGGGCCTTGCCCTGACTCGGGCTTGGGATCTTCGTTCCTTCAGCTGAGAAGATGGCGGCCGGGCAGGAAAAAGGCGCGGAGGAAGTGGAAGGATCTGAGCTGCCTTTGGCCCCGTGCGAGGTGGAGATCCCTCAAGAGCCGAACCCAACGGCGCAGGGCGAGGGGGAGGGTCGCCCACGAGGCTCTGAAGAACCGAGTGACGAGTCCTGCAGGCGCCCGTCACCGAGAAAGCGCGGACGGGTACCGGGCTGCCGCCGGAGCCGCGGGACGAAGAGGACCTACAGCCGCACCAAGAATGAGAAGACCGTTGCTGGGCCGGCAGAAGGGACCATGCACAAGGGCCTCTACAGCTGTCCCGATTGTGGGAAGATCTTCAGTCGGAGGTCCTTCCTCATCCCCCACCAACGCATCCACACCGGTGAAAAGCCCTTCACCTGCCACGAGTGCGGGAAGGGGTTCCGCGTTGGGTCGGCCCTCAACAAACATCAACGCATCCACACGGGCGAGAAACCCTACAAGTGCGCGGACTGTGGGAAGTGTTTCCGTCTCACCTCCACCCTCAGCACCCATCGGAAGATCCACACCGGGGGGAAACCCTACGTCTGCCTCGTCTGCGGGAAGACCTTTCAGTTGAGCGCGTATCTACTGGCCCACCAAGCCACCCACAGCGCGGACAACCCATTCCAGTGTCTCGCCTGCGGGAAGAACTTCAGCTTGAGACGGTACCTGGCCATTCATCAGCGGATCCATACGGGAGAGAAACCCTTCAAGTGTTCGGTGTGCGGGAAGCGTTTCAACCGGAGGTCCACCCTCATCGTTCACCAGCGGGTCCACACCGGAGAGAAACCCTACAAGTGCCCCGAATGCGGGAAGAGCTTCATCATGAGTTCAGACCTCATCAGCCATCGGAGAATCCACACCGGGGAGAAACCCTACAACTGTCTCCACTGCAATAAAAGCTTTCGGTTGAGTTCCCACCTTACGAGACACCAACGAAGCCACACCGGGGAGAGACCGTACAAATGTCTGGATTGTGGGCAAAGCTACACCGACAGCTCCGGACTCATCAAACACAAGAAGATGCACATGGAAAAGAAGCAGAGGACATCTCAGGTAGCCCACCAAGGGGAAGGACGTTATAAATGTCCCTACTGTAGTAAGAGCTTCCACGCAAAGTCAGCTCAGGTCCTTCACCGCGCGACCCACGTCGGAGAACGCCCCTATAGATGCTCCAAGTGCGAGAAGACCTTCGGCCACAGCGCAAGCCTCCTGAAACACCAACGGATCCACACGGGGGAGAGACCCTTCAAGTGTCCCAACTGTGACAAGTGCTACAACGATAGTTCCACCCTTCGGCGACACCGGAGGAGCCACACCGAGGAGAAACCCTATAAGTGTCCCAGTTGCGGGGAGTGTTTCGGTGCCATCGCGGCTCTCCTGAAGCATCAGCGGTTCCACACCGAGGGGAGACCTTACAGATGTACCGACTGCGGGAAGAATTTCCACTCGAATTTTCTCCTCGTCACCCACCAACGAATCCACACGGGAGAAAAACCCTACACCTGCCCCATCTGCAAAAAAACCTTCCGCCAAGCTTCCCACCGTACGAGGCACCAGGAGATCCACAGGAGGAACGGGACTGACGTCGCTTTGCCTGAGGTGTCCGAGAAAAGAACGACCCGGAACGGTGGAGGAGCAGAGGTGGGACGCGATGGTCAATCGATGAGTCCGGACGGCGCTTCCACCCCTCAACAATAAAAGGATTTGAGATGTCCTGTATCCATCCGCTGGTCCACGTTGGGTTCGGATGGGGCTTCCACCACTCAGTAAAAGGGGTTGAGATGCTCCGAGTCCATCCGCTGGTCCACGGTGGGTTCGGATGGGGCTTCCACCACTCAGTAAAAGGGGTTGAGATGCTCCGAGTCCATCCGCTGGTCCACGGTGGGTTCGGATGGTGCTTCCACCACTCAATAAAAGGGTTTGAGATGCCCCAATTCCATCTGCTGGTCCACGTTGGTTTGGATGGTGCTTCCACCACTCAATAAAAGGGTTTGAGATGCTCTGAGTCCATCCGCTGGTCCACGTCAAGTCCAGATGGTGCTTTCACCCCTCAACAATAAAAGGATTTGAGATGTCCTGTATCCATCCGCTGGTCCACGTTGGTTCGGATGGTGCTTCCACCCCTCAACAAAAGGATTTGAGATGTCCCGAGTCCATCCACTGGTCCACGTTGGGTTCGGATGGTGCTTCCACCACTCAATAAAAGGGTTTGAGATGCTCTGAGTCCATCTGATGGTCCACGTTGGTTCGGATAGTGCTTCCACCACTCAATAAAAGGGTTTGAGATGCCCCAAGTCCATCTGCTGATCCATGTTGGTTTGGATGGTGCTTCCATCACTCAATAAAAGGGTTTGAGATGCTCTGAGTCCGTCTGCTGGTTCATGTTGGTTCGGATGGTGCTTCCACCACTCAATAAAAGGGGTTGAGATGCCCCAAGTCCATCTGCTGATCCATGTTGGTTCGGATGGTGCTTCCACCACTCAATAAAAGGGGTTGAGATGCCCCAAGTCCATCTGCTGATCCATGTTGGTTCGGATGGTGCTTCCACCACTCAATAAAAGGGGTTGAGATGCCCCAAGTCCATCTGCTGATCCATGTTGGTTCGGATGGTGCTTCCACCACTCAATAAAAGGGGTTGAGATGCCCCAAGTCCATCTGCTGATCCATGTTGGTTCGGATGGTGCTTCCACCACTCAATAAAAGGGTTTGAGATGCTCGGAGTCCATCCGCTGGTCCATGTCAAGTCCAGATGGTGCTTCCACCACCCAACAATAAATGGGTTTGAGGTGTCCCGAGTCCATCCACTGGTCCATGTTGAGACCTCAAGACAGAGACACCAGGGGTTGCCCTGCTGTGGGTCCAAGCTGGAACCTCAAGAGAAGGTGACACCAGAGGTTGACCTGCTGTCCAAGCTGAAGCCTCCAGAGGTGACACCACAAGTCAACCTGCTGTGGGTCCAAGCTGGAACCTCAAGAGGAGGTGGCACCAGGGGTTGACCTGCTGTGGGTCCAAGCTGGAACCTCAAGAGGTGACACCAGAATTCGACCTGCCGTGGGTCCTAGCTGGAACCTCAAGAGGTGACACCAGATGTCGACCTGCTGTGGGTCCAAGCTGGAACCTCAAGAGCCATCGGTCGATGCCGAAGATGGCACCCCAGAGCCCCGAGTGGCGTCCGTGGGTGGAGGGACTTCTTCTCGAACCCCTTGGTTGGGCCTTAAATCCCTCGGGGG